CCAGGGCAGACCGGGGTGCCCCATACCACAGCCTCGGAAAGCCAAGCGTGCCTAAGGTAACCCCAGTATTCCCCCCACCCCACCCCTATACCTCTCCCTGAGGCTGGACATGTCCATGGGGTCAGATTCTCAGCTGGGGTGAACGGGCGTCGCTCCATTGGAGTCAATGGGCCAGATCCTCAGCTTATGTAGCACGGTTGACTCCGATGGAGCGACGCCCATTTCCACCAGCTGAGGATCTGGCCCCTCGTGGCACGGGGAGACGAGCTCGGCTCCATACCGCTTGCTGCCAGCGGGCTGGGGAACACTCATCAAAAAGCATCTTGCGCTCGTAAATTGCGCTTTCCCAGCTGTGGGGCTGAACTGAACAGCCAAAGGAGGGGTTCAGCCCTCAAGGGAATTTGAAAGCACGGATTCCCTTGAACTTTGGCTGAATAACAGATTGGTTCGGCACAGACGCGGATTTCCTGTGTCATTCGTCAAGCTCCCATTTTTAACAAAATGAAGAGGGTCCCCGCGTCCTGTCCCCGCAGTCCTGCCCCTTGCTCCCCACGGCGAACCGCAGCGGATTAAAGGGATCCGCTGTCTTTTCTTTAAAGGCCTCGCGTGGCTTGGCTTTTGTAAAGCGAGCAGCACCCAGCCAGGGCAGGACGGAGGGCAGTGAAAGCAGTGGAGGGAGCTGCAGCTGTGGTGTGCGACCCAGCTCAGTTAACAACTGTGACCCCTTGTGTCTCCCCCTTTAAGCACAGAGCAAAGGATACAATAAAATCCCCTAAAATGAAAGGCATTGGCGCTGCAGGGTTCCTAGGTACCAGTGGGTTAAAAGTCCATGGCGAAGGGGTTGTGGGGTGGATTGTGGACCGGTTCCAGCCTGTGATGTGGCGCTTTGGTGTTTTCCCAGCCAGGGAGCAAATTCCTGCTCGATGGAGCTAAAAAACAACCCAAAAAAAAGAAGAAAGGAAAAGAAATCCAGTTCTCTTCCAGCCTTCTCCCCTTCCCCCTCTTCTGGGATTTTTAAGATTGATGCCTCAGCCGAGTGGAAAGGCTGATTTCAGCAGGGGCTGGGTTGAGGGTTTTAACTCCCAAAAGCTCGGGTGCAAAGAAGCTGTTTTGATGGCTTCGCTCTGGGGAGACTTTTGCCTTTGGCAGATGCCAGACTGACCCAGTTCCAGTCCCCCTTCCCTCCCGGCTGCCTGGATAAAAGATCTACAGATGTCCAACTCTCCCGGCCCGAGTAGAAAGAAATGGCCCGTTTCCATGGATACTTTATTACCCTTTTTTTTTTAATGGAAAAAATCGTTTTTTCCCTTGACTCACAGGGTTTTGTACCCGGTCACAATAATCAGCCCCCTCCCGTCTCTTTCATTTCTCGCGCCGTACTTGAAAAAGTCAAGGCATGAATGGGAAGACGGTGCCTTTTTTCCTGACCCCTGTGGCTAACATAAAATGCCAATAGTCTGGCCGAGCTGTGGGAGATCACGCACACCCACATGACTTAGTGTCGCGATCCCCCCACGGTTCATCTGAACCCTGCCAGACCTTGGGAGGAGGAGTCAGGACACCTGGGTTCTATTCGAGGCGTAGGGGACTGGCAGTCGGGACCCTGGAGTTCTGTTCATGGCACCAAGAGGAAGTGTTTCCTAGTTGTAAGAGCAAGGGAATAAAAGCCAGGACTCCTAGGTTCCTTTCCTGGCTTTGGGAGGACATGGGGCCTCATGGTTGGTGTGGAGGTCTGGAATCCAGGACTCCTGGGTTCCACTGGAGGGTATTGGGTCTGGAAAAGAGGATATTTTTAGGAGACAGAAACATGGATCATGGCCCTTTGTTCTCTTGGTCGACTGATCAGCTGTTGGGTGACCGTGAGTACTCGGGGTAGGGGCCCCCGATCCTGTGTCATGCGCCAGCCCCTCCACATGGGCATCTTCCCCCAGCACCGCCGTTGCTGCTGCATGGAACACGTTGCTTGCCGCTGTCACCCGCACACGCTTTACTGCCACGGCCGGCTGACCAGCTCCCCCTGCAGCTTCAGTTCCCCAGTGGCACAAATGCTTCTCCTTTAATTACTAACTGCACGGAGTGTGATTCGTCCCTCGTGGCTGCGGAGGGCAGGGCAGGGCGCGTGTGTCTGGGCAGCATGCTGTTTCTGTGCCATCAGCCTGGCTTGTGCAAAGCCCATGGTGTCTTGCACCGTTTCAGGACAGACCTGTGCTCATCACATGCCCTTTGGGATAACTGCAAAACAGCACAGCCCTGCCGCTGACCCCTATGGCCCCAGCTGGGTCCCTGGGCTCTGTTCCCCTACTGACTTCCCATGGGAATCTCCAGGGTGGGTCAGGACGGGGCTCCGGCCAACCGCAATCTCCTCTTGCCCAGTGGCTGGTACCAGCTGCATCAGAGGAAGCTGCCAGGATCCTGCAGTGATGGGAGAACCTGCCCCCAGGGAATGCTCCCTCCTGACCCCAGGAGGGATACCTGGATTATGCTCTGCAGCTTGAGGGTTTCTCCTGCCTCTGAATCCTGAACCCTCCCTTCCCTACACACATCGCCCCAACAGGACCCGCTTGGGTCTCTCCACAAGCTGCAGGGATGGGCCCAGTGGCTGCTCCAGCAGTCAAATCCCCCAGGTCCCTCCCTGCTGCCCCACTCGCCATCTCCCTTTGCTACCCCGCATCCCCAGAAAGAGCTAAATCAGCAAAGACCCACAGGGGCCACACAGCCAGCCTGGGGCTCAGGGCAAGTTACACAAAGCGGCCTAAGGCAAAGGCCTTGGAAGCCAGTGGACAAACTATGGACAAACAATCCTCATATCCCCTCTATCGATCTATCCCCATACACCCCCTTTATCTATCTAGCTATCTAATCTATCGATCTATCCCCATACACCCCCTTTATCTATCTAGCTATCTA